CCAGCCCCACCCCCACCACCCCACCCTCCCCAAAAAGAAATTAAGTTTATCTTTAAAAAATATTTTCAATTTCAATTCAAAGATAATTTTCTATTCTAGTAAAAATATAAGATATTTTCTCAAAAATATTTTTCATTCATAAATCAAACACTAAAAAATCTTTTCCGAAAAATATTTTCTACTCACCAACCAAACACGAGAAAATAAGTAAAAAATCTAAACATTTTCTAGGGAAACATTTTCCTTCATACCAAACACACCCTTAATTCTTAAAGAATAACAACAAACTATGCTTTATTTTCTGTCGTGCATTCAATACCTATGTAATAATAATCGATTGCCTTCTTATTATGTATATATTGATAAACTTTGAATAAGGATACTAAATTGTGAATGTTTACCCAACTTAATATTGAACTAATTGTTGAACTTGAAAGAAAAATAATAGTGCCTCTCACTTGTATCTTATTCCATGTGGATTCTTTTATTGCGCAGGCTAAGAAATATGATTCGTTACTAAAATGATGGACATTGTGTTTTTTAAAATTACGGTTATTTTAAAATATTTTTTACTACGTTGGATCTCAAATATATTTCATAGTTAAATCAAACAGAAGTAAAATTATGATAAAGTTTTAAACGTTGGGCTCATGCTTAGCACAGGAAACACTCATCTAGTATACTAGATAATGAAAGGCCCGTTACGGGCCCAATATTATAATTTTATATATGTATATAATAGAAATTTGATTAGTTTTTGGAAAGAAAAATTATTATGATATTTTCAAATAAACATGATAGTAAATTATAATAAAACGCAATAGGTGTTTAACAAACAAAATAATGACCTACTTGATGAAAATTAGAATGAAGCATCTCATTCTTTACAAAGTGATAAAATGATGAAAAAAAAAAGTTATGACTTTGTGTCTTGTCTTAATATTTATTAAAATTAAAAGAACAATTTAGTATAGTAAAGAAAGAACTATTTTAGAGTAGTTAATATATATGATGAATAAATGTTTTACCTCAAATGAATGGGAATTTAAAAATATTAACAAAAGCTGCTTTTTTTAGAGTAGTAACATATAATAATTTATATAACTTGCTTAAAATGATTTTAACTAATGATAAACTAATAGTAATAAATAAATATATGTTTTTCAATAAATTATATAATGACATATATGTTACGTAAAGTTTTTGGATTATACATAAAAAGAGTAATCAAGTAAATTAGATACTTCAAAAATTATCTTTACAATCCAAAAAAAATTGAAAAGTCTAAAGAGAACCAAAGGAAAGGACATAACATACTCCGAAATTATTGAAAATTTAGTTCTTGCAGAGCTCGCTTAGTGGTTGCATTCCTTTTGGATTAGGCATTTTGAGAAACGCAATTGTGATTGATATTGGATTTAACATGTTAACTAATTCATTAGGGTGCTTGAAAAGTGTGGAATAGTTGAATTTTGCTGAAAATTGGCTATATGGACAAGTCCCAGAAGTGATACGTCAACTAAGAAATATTGAATTTTACTTTTGTCTTATAATTATTTTACAAAGGTAGGGTCATTATATAGAGAATTGATCAAAAATGAAGTTCTTAATGTTGGAAAAAAACTGAATTATTGGTCTTCCTAATAAGAGATCTATGTCGGAGTGTATAATATTTAGGACATAAATTAGAAATAAAGGACGAGAAATTTATTGGTATAAAACATGAGAGGGAGAGAATTGAGGAGTGAATGAAATGAAGAATGAGTTAATGTCTATTTATTTGTGTCATAGACTTGGTTCTAGAAAATCTTATAATTTATAGTTTCTTGAAAAGTCATGTAACTTGTGGAGGAAATTTACCCACTTGAAAAAATATTTTGACTAGTTTAAAAATACAATTTATAGAACTTTAAAATGAAATATATATGAAATGCCATATTGCCCTTGATCGTCCTCAACTTCACATTTCTATATAATTGAAAAATACCAAATTTTGATCTGGCAACTTCAAATTTAAATCGAACTTACATCAGTTTACATATTTAGACTAATATGTTTGAAATCAAGTAAAAGTACAAACTTGATTATATATTTTAATGAAGAACTACTCTTTTAATTTGATTATATATTTTAATGAAGAACTACTCTTTTAATTTGATTATATATTTTAATGAAGAACTACTCTTTTAATTTGATTATATATTTTAATGAAGAACTACTCTTTTAATTTGATTATAAACACTAATAGTTTACTTAAAATGCAAATATACCATCCCATTCATTTTATTTGTAAAGTTACTTTTTAACATCTTTTAAAGTATTGAAATTATTTTTATTTATTCTTTAATTTCAATTTAATACATATTATTAATTTTATCACGCTTATTTCTTTTCAGGTATATTAATTAGAGAGTAATGAATTTTTATGTTAAAGTAGATATTTTTAGTAAGCATAATGAATATAAAAAATATTAGGAATTAATTAAAGTAATAGTAAAATAGAGTATTGAATAGATATCACAATAACTCATAAAAGAAAAGAAAGTGAAGTGATAAAAAAATGAGTTATTAGTACTAACAATAACTAAAGATGTTTCTAGAACTATTTAGTTTTCTTGTTATTATTTTTGGTAGATTTTTGTTAGCATGAAATTATATTTTTACCATTGATAATCATCACTTCATATATAGAAAGATGTTTCTAGAATTATTTGTTTTTCTTGTTATCTTTCTTAATAGATTTTTGTTAGAATAAAATTATATTTTTACCCTTGGTTTTCCTACAAATATATATATATTAACCGTCCTATCAAATGAGATCCAAATTAAATCACAAGAATTTTTTTTCCAAAAATAACAACCCACCGCCCCTATACTCATCTTCTTCCCAAAGAGCGCTACTCGCCCAGACATTTTTTTCAGAGATCCGTACCTTCTTCTTATTTTCTTTCCTTTTTCCATAAAATCAGGGTGTCACCCTTGCTACTCGTCGTTCGTGATCATCTCCACCCGCAACATGTCGCCTACCATAGCCAGTAGAACTTTCATTCATCAATTGGTCAAAATAAAAAAAAAGTGAGATTTTTTAAATCTTTTTCATCATCTCCCTGTTCTCCCTCGAAAATCTCTTCAATATTGGTTCAACTCCAGACTTTTCAAGTCTGAATTTACCTATAAATAACAAGTTTTTCACCCTTAAAAGGGCAATGAAAAAGATCATCCAAAAAAGGAATTAAAAAAATCCAAGAATTTATAAGGATAACTGATTAAAAACAGAGAAATATACTTCACACGACTCATTTACTTCAAACATCATATTTCAAGAATTGTTTGTCTCTTTTTTCAGTTTCTGATTCTCGAATTCGAATTTGAAAAAGAGAGTTTGAAGTTGAAACCCTTGACGTCGAAGTCTTTGTTTGCTTCTCAGCAAAAGGTACAATCTTTGTCCATCTTTTCACTTTGTTCTGTTTCGATATGGGTGTGTACACTATTCTCTTGTAATATCATGTTTGCGCGCGCACCCCGCCTTATTTCTCTCTATTTTTTTTACACAAATTTGAATATGTGAAAGCTCAAGCTATATGGTAATTTATGATTTCTTGTATTTTTCTTTAACTATGATAAGCTAAGTCAGTGAATACACTCACATTCTTTCTTTATTTCAGCTTGTTGAGATATAAATCATTTATATCACATTTTAGTTAACACAGTTAGTTAGTCATAGTTAGTTAGAGAGTTTGTTAGTTAGTTACTAGCTTAAAGTGTGTGTATATAATGATCAATTGTAGTGTTCAGTTTTCTTAATTCACATTCAATGAAATATAATTTTCCTCTTCTAGATTCTTCTTCTCTCATGTGAGTTCAAGCTCCATCAATGGAGGAGCTTGATTGATCAGTAACAAGCTGTGCTGATTTTATCATGGTATTAGAGCTTTGGACGTAGATCCTGCTCCTTTTTTCCGTATCCACATCTGTGAGTTTTATTTTCTCTTCCGAAGAGGTTGCACTGTGAATATTGATGTCGAGTTCATGATTTGAACCTTGAGTTCCTCTTCCTGTTCTCGATTTTGTTTTCGAAGTTTTCGTTCTCAATTTTGAGTTTCTGTTGTTACTCAAATTGTATCTGTCCCTTATTCCTGTTTTTTAATCCCATCACGATCTGATTTCCCCATGGTTGACAATCAAGTTGATCCAATTTCGACTGGTTCTACATCCACTGCTAGGATGGATTTTGCCAATCCCTTCTATCTGCATCCTTTCGAGAATGCAGGTTCATCTCTATTGCCTGGAATTTTCGATGGCACTGGTTATAGATCATGGTGGAGAGCTGTTCTTAGAGCCTTATCTGTTAAGAGTAAAACAGGTTTTATCTGTGGAAAAGTAGTAAAGCCCAATCTAGATAATCCTAGTTTCCAACAGTGGGAGAGGTGTGATGACATTGTAACCTCTTGGATTCTGAATTCCTTGTCACCTGATCTAAGAGATAGTCTGCAGTATGTTAGCAATGCACATGAATTATGGGCTGAATTGGAGGAAAGATATGACCAGACCAATGGTTGTAAGTTGTATCAGCTTCAGAAAGAAATCAATGATCTTGTTCAAGGCACTTTAGATGTCACTGGTATTACACGAAGATGAAAAAGCTCTAGGAAGAAATGAGCACAGATGATATGAGTTCTCAGTGCAATTGTGTGTGCATTTGTGGGGGTAAAGTCAAATTGATCAAGGCTGAGCATGATAGAAGACTCATACACTTCCTAATGGGGCTAAATGAGATGTATACTGCCATCAGAGGCAACATTCTCATGATGAATCCTTTACCTAGCATGGCTCAAACTTTTTCCATATTGTCCCAAGAAGAAAAACAGAGAGAAGTGAAGCCTCACAACCACACTGCTTTGGATTCCACTTCCCTAAATGCTTTTGCTTCAACTCACAACAATGCAGAAGTAAAAGGTCTCAGAACCAACTATAGTTCTTCTAAGAGACATACAGGCAACTCTAGAAACCTGAATAACACCAACATGATTAGAGGGAACTCCAGTACCAGCAGATCTACTTTGTTTTGTGATTTCTGCAGGAGATCAGGCCACGCCAGGGAAAGATGTTACAAGCTTCATGGGTATCCACCCAACTCCAAATTCTCTAAAGGCAAAAGTTCCAATTCTGTAATGGCTAATATGTGTAGTAGTGAGACTGATGGAAACGACTGTAAGGAAGATCCTAAGTTGAGGAAGCACATGCCATTGAACTTGTCCAAAGACTAGTATGAACAGCTATTGAATCTCTTGGGATCTCTACAAGCTGGACATGAAGCTTCCAACTCAGACAGTATGCTAAGTGGAGCTGTGAACCTAGCAGGTATACTTGCTTGTTATTCTTCCATTACTGAGATAGGTGGCCTTTCTTGTAGATGTGCTAGATTAACTGCTAGTTCTTGGATCATAGATTCAAGGGCATCACATCACATGACATATAACAAAGCCATTCTCACAAATATTAGACCACTACCATATCCCTTTCTCATCTCCCTACCTAATGGTTACAAAGTTAAAGTGACTGAAATTGGTGATGTATGTTTAAATCAAGTCCTAACATTGCAGAAAGTTCTATTTGTACCTAGTTTCAAATTCAATCTCATATCAGTTCATTGTCTAGCATTACAACTTAAAGGTATAGTCAGTTTTAATAGTGTTTCTTGCTTGTTGCAGGGCCCTTCTCTGAAGAGCTCTCTAGAACTTGGTAGAGCAAAGAATGGCCTTTATTTCTTGTGTACAGAATGCCACAACTGTGGTTCTTCTCCTGATGGTACCAAGGACCCTCATGTCACTTCAAGTCATTTTACTCCTTTAGCTAAATGTACTAATAGTCCAGTTCAAAACATTCATTACTCTACTGTAAAAGGTTTTTCTCATATCAATAAAGAGGGTTGTTTTGATTTTAATTCTTCTTCCTACACCACTGCAAAGTGTTCTTCTCTTGCTGTTAATTCTGATAGCACTTATACTAATAATCTCTTGTGGCATACTAGACTAGGCCATGTACCTTTTGTGAAAATGAAGGGCATCTCCACTATCCCTTGTCATTTCTCTACCAAACAACCTTTCACTTGTACCATACGCCCTATGGCTAGGCAGATAAGAATGTCATTCCCAGAAAGCACAATCTCCACCATCAAGCCTTTTGAGTTACTTCACACTGACCTATGGGGACCATACCACATTCCAACTCATGATGGTTTTCACTATTTCCTAACCATGGTAGATGATCACACTAGATCAACTTGGACACAATTGATTAGGTGTAAGAGCAATGCTTTGCAAATAATTAAGGCTTTTGTTTCACTTGTTGAAAACCAATTTCAGACTAAGCTGAAAACCATCAGGTCTGATAATGGTCTGGAATTTACCTCTAATGAAGTCACCCTTTTTTTCCAAGAAGAAGGTATAATCCATCAAAAATATTGTCCCTACACACCTCAACAAAATGGTGTAGTTGAAAGGAAACACAAGTATCTCCTTGAAACTACAAGGGCACTCCTATTTCAGTCTAAACTGCCACTGAGATATTGGGGAGAATATGTTCTAACAGCCACATACCTTATTAACAGATTACCTTACAAGATTCTACAAAACAAATCTCCTTATGAAATGTTGTACCAAACACAGCCTACATACTCTCACCTTAGAAGTTTTGGATGTTTATGTTTTTCCACTACCTTGAAAACCCACAAAGATAAGTTTGAGCCACGGGCAACACCACATATTTTTGGTGGCTACCCCTTCAATACAAAAGGTTACAAGGTTTTGGACTTAGTTACCCAGAGAGTTCACGTATGCAGAGATATTTTTTTTCATGAGTCTGTCTTTCCTTTTGTCATTGCTCCTGATAATTCTAGTTTTGCATCTGTCTTAAAGTGTCTTGTCCATCATCCCAAAACTCTAACTTGCATGCCTGGTACAACTAGAATTTTCTCTAATGATGACTTCCTAAATATTAACATGCCACATGAAGTCACTACTAATGAAGTAACAACAGTAGATACAACATCTAATACAATCCCCAATATCCAAACATCTACTAATACAAATGAACACACATCAAGCACTACCATCCCAAACACACCAGTTTCACCATGTGATGCTCCACCTGCTCTTAGGAGAACAACCAGGCCACTTCATACACCCAACTACCTCAAAGAATATAAATACACTTTACCTAACTTGCATTCCTTCACACCTGCACCTGATCCTCACCTTTCTCTTACATCCTTCCTAACCAACCATGATAGCATTTGCTTTACCATTTTGTGTTCTGATAACCAGCAGTTAGTTGAAACCATCTCTTATGATTGTGAGCCTTCCTCATATGAAGAAGCAATTTTGCATCCTGCCTGGCACTATAATGCAAGAATTTGAAGCTCTATATGCTAATAATACTTGGGAATTAGTACCTCTGCCCAAGGATAAGAAGGCCATTGGTTGTAAGTGGGTGTACAAAATCAAGCACAAGGCTGATGGTAGTGTAGAAAGGTTTAAGGCAAGACTAGTAGTTAAGGGGTACACTCAATAGGCTGGTATAGATTACAATGAAACCTTCTCTCCCGTAGTAAAGATGACTACTGTTAGGAGTTTGATTACATTGGTTGTTAAGAAGGGATGGGGCTTGTATCAGTTAGATGTCAACAATGCCTTCCTTCATGGTGATTTGACTGAGGAAGTATACATGACATTACCACCAGGTCTTGCAGTAGACTTCCAAAACATGGTGTGCAAATTAAAAAAATCATTATATGGTTTAAAGCAGGCTAGTAGGCAATGGTATGATAAGTTGTCCAGCAGTCTTTGTTCTAGGGGGTACATACATTCACATAGTGATTACTCACTGTTTCACAAAAAGATGGGAGGTTATTTGGTCTTTGTTGTTGTATATGTTGATGATGTGATTCTAACTGGGACTGATCTGGAGGAGATCAACTCTCTAAAGTCTTTTCTGAATGATTAGTTTAAAATAAAGGATTTAGGTAGACTTCATTATTTCCTGGGCTTGGAGATATTATACAGGCATGATGGGGTTCTCATTTCTCAAAGAAAGTTCACCACTGATCTCTTAAAGGAATTTGATTCCCTGAACTGCAAACCTGTTGCTTCACCACTTGACTATACTGAAAAATTGAAGGCCTCTGATGGAAGGTTACTATCTGATCCTACTCATTATAGGAAGTTAGTAGGCAAACTCAATTTTCTAACAAACACTAGGATGTATAAAGCTTACAGTGTGCAGCACCTAAGCCAGTTCATGCAAACACCTAGGGAACCACACTTAAAGGCAGCTTATCATGTCCTCAAATACCTAAGACAAGATCCTATAATGGGAATATTCATTTCAAATACACCTGCTCTTACAGTCAAGGCATATTGTGACTTAGATTGGGGTGCTTGCTCTGATTCAAGGAAATCAGTCAGTGGCTATCTAGTCCTCATGGGTGATAGCCCTATCAGCTGGAAGTCCAAGAAACAGGCCACAGTATCCTTGTCCTCTGCAGAAGTAGAATACATAGCTATGAGACAGGTAGTAGGGGAGTTGGTTTGGTTTGAAAGGTTGATGAATGAGTTGTCTGTACAATGCCTCTTGCCTATATAGGTTTTCTGTGACAGTCAAGCTGCAGTCCACATTGCCAAGAACCCAGTTTTCCATGAAAGGACTAAACACATAGAAATCGACTGCCATTTTGTTAGAGATAAACTTCACCAAGGCTTGATCACTCTCCACCATATCTCTGCTGATTCACAACTAGCAGATATCCTCACAAAGGCTCTTACTGGAGTTAAACATGCTACATTATTGAACAAGTTGTCTGTAAATCCAATTACCTCCAACTTAAGGAGGGGTGTTGAGATATAAATCATTTATATCACATTTTAGTTAACACAGTTAGTTAGTCATAGTTAGTTAGAGAGTTTCTTAGTTAGTTACTAGCTTAAAGTGTGTGTATATAATGATCAATTGTAGTGTTCAGTTTTCTTAATTCACATTCAATGAAATATAATTTTCATACAACTCTTCTAGATTCTTCTTCTCTGTTCTTCTCTCATGTGAGTTCAAGCTCCATCAATGGAGGACCTTGATTGATCAGTAACAAGCTGTGCTGATTTTATCACAACTTTTTCGTTTTTTAGCATAAGTGTAGTTGTTGAATGCTCTTGCTTATTGATCGTTGTTAGAACGTGTTCTTATCATAAAATCAATATGAGAGGAGTCGAAACTGAATTATGAACCTCTAGGGAAAGGCCACTAATCTATGTAAAGTTTGAACCAATTGGCATTTAGTAAAAAATTTTAGGGAAAAAGGTCTGATATACCCCTCAACTTTGTCATTTAGATCTGATATATCCCTCGTTATGAAAGTGGCTCATATATACCCCTAATGTTATACAAATGGCTCACATATACCCTTTCCTCCAACGGAAGTGAAAAAAATAATTTTAATTTAATTTTAATTATTCTTTTGAAAAAAAATAAAATCTACATGGGTATATTGATTATACCCACACATAAGTTTTTTGACTTTTTTGTTTCAACGACTAATTTAAATTTATTATTTTGATGGTCAAATTTATTTATATTTCACTAATTTTCTTGTAAAATTTATCATAGATGCCCCACTTTTTTAAAAAAGAATTTACAAATACAAAAACTAAATTACAATATAGCCGCAAAAAAAGTTAGTTTTAATTTTTTTATCTTTTCACTAAAGAATGATAAAAAAAAAAAAAGGAATAAGAAACTCGAATAATGATAATAAAAGAAGTCTAAAATAATTTTGTATGAAAAAAGATTAAAATATATCTTGAACTTTGCTAGAAGGATCATATATATACCCCTGCATGATTTATTTTTTTAAATTTAAAACTATTCTTTTCACTTCTGTTAGATGAATGATATATGTGAGTTCCTTTTGTAACGGTAAGGGTAAATGTGAGTCATATGTATAACGGTAAGGGTATATATGAGCCACTTTCATAACGAGGGGTATATCAGCTCTAAATGACAAATTTAAGGGGTATATGAGGCTCCTTTCCCTTTTTTTTTTATATCGCATTATCAATTTTTAATAGTTTGAGATTTATTTTAATAGGTTAACTAATAAATAGATAGTAAATTGATAGATTAAATTTATACCATTTGATATATAAAGTCAGGATTTTACTTTCATAGTTTCATACTTTCATTTCTGATTGTCTTTACAAAGTGTTGGAGTTAGTATTTGAGCAAGATGCAATCTATCAACTTATATACGTGATTCATTCTAAGTTATAATCAAATCAATAACTATTAATAACAGATAAATTTTTAAATTGATTGACAAATTAATATCTTAATAATTCTATAATGATTTAACATGTTTACAAACTGATAAATACTTCCAAATTGTAATCTTATGGAAAGTTCCGGAGGAACATATTCCCATTTGATTTTCAGCAAAACCCTTGCTTATTTTCCCTCCCAAAGACATTTCTTCATTCGGCTCATTTCATTTTTTCTCATATACATATAGATATAGAAGAAAAGATAGGACTTTGAGTGCGAATTTGAAGTAAAGATCGAACGGAAGAAAGGGGAAAATGACACCAGTAAAGGTGAATTTGAATAATCAATTTATCACTGCCATTAATGCATACACGGAGGTGAGAGTTGTCTTTCTTTTTTTTGGCCTTTTTGTTCTCTAATTTCTAAATGGATTATCTAGGCTATCACCTTGTGCCCCAACATATTGGAGTTGGACCAATCGCGCTTGCTTTGTGCCATCTGAAACGCAACATTTTTGTCTCTTTATTTTACTGATGTCTTATGAATGTTCATTTATATAGTCTTTCTTGGTTGATAGTGACTGGACAAGTGTAGACGAAGATTGTAGCTTGATCAGAGTTCTATTAAGGTGCGAACTTGTAATCTTTTTTTGCATTCACCTTTTTGTTTCAATGTGATGAATGAGATCTTCATCTAGTTGCTCCATTAACATTCCTATTTCCTTTTGCCATTTCGGGGGACCATGTTGTTTTTTGTAAAATCTGTGTAGTTGAATTTGTAGGAGGTCTAAGAGCATTGAACTCTTTTTAAGATCATTTCACTGGCAACACAGATTATTAGCAAGTATAAAATTGTTGTTGTATTTCTCAATCGTTGATAGGATGTCTCCTACAATAGTCTTGTATTCAATGTGAATACCGATATTTGGAGAATGGTCAAAGTAATATATCCTAAGTTAAGGCAAGGCAGATTCATATCAGCTGGCCAGAATTGGTGGACTGTTTGGAGAAGTACAAACCCAAATTGTACTATATGGCAGTAAGATGGAAACCATCAGAGCATGGCAAGTTAAAATGCAATACAGATGGAGCTTCTAAAGGCAATCCAAGGAGAAGTTCTTATGGTTTCTGTATAAGAAATCATGACGTAGACCTAGTTTATGCCCGAGGAGAAGAGATAAACGAGACTACAAATATGGAAGTAGAGGCAATCGCAATAAGGGAAGCAATTTATCATTGCACTGCTATTGGGATCACGTGGATTGATATTGAAACTGATTCATTAGTTTTAGTAAAATTCTTATCAGGAATTTGGGAAATTTCATAGCAAATTGCAACCGTAATAGAAGACATCAAGGAAATGACTCAGATTTGTCAAGTTAGATTAAACACATCTATAGAGAAGGTAATTATATGGCTGACTGTATAGCTAATCTAGCTTTTAACACAAGAAATAGATTCAAATATTCCAATTTCATGGAGCTTCCTACTAAAGCTAAGCAAATTCTCAACTTAGACAAGCAACAAATAGCTAATTTGAGGATAAGAACAAAAAGATTTAATCAATGCAAAATTAGGCAGGAAGAAGGCATCAACATTCAATGAATAAAGAACCAATGTCAGAATATAGAAGTCACAGAGGCTCAGCAACAACAAGTTTAATCAAATGAATATGTGGTCTCAACAAAAGGAAGCTATCAAGGAGGAACATCAACATAGCATGGAAGAAGAGACAAATATCCAGATTTGATGGTATCAATAGTTCACAAAATAAAGCTTAGTCAAAGGATATATTCAAGTGCGATAATGGAAGAAATAAAGTTCAAAGATGGTCGGAACTTACATAGAGAAATGAATTTGAACATGGAGATTGAAGACGGCTTTGTGGTGGAACAAAATCATAAGAAGAACAATTTCAACAAAAAAGAAATCAGATGGGAGAAGAAGTTTTTTTGACCAAGTAATAAAAATATGGAAGAAGCTCTACAGTGGTGATGGAAGGAGCTGAAAGGAATCGTTGGTTTCCTTTTTTGGAAATAAGGGAGTTGATGAAGATGGAGATGTGACATTTGCGTGTAAAAACTCAAAATAGTCCTTTATCTTTGAGC